GAGTTGTAGCTTAGGGTTAAGTGACAAGTCTCAATGACGACATCGACTAAAATGCAAGCGAAGCTTCTGAGAATGCCCCAAGTCCACAGTTTAACGTTGAAAATCGCCACGATTACTATGACAGAGGACTCTGGGTAGGATGACTTCATATAGGTCTGGCTGAAAACCCGACAGAGTTGTAAAAACGAGGTCAAATTAAATCTATACAGCAAAAGGAGACCACGACAAAAAGAGAGGCCATGAAACCTTGGCCTTCATACCTTAATACATTAAGCGTTCAAAGAAAGGAATTAGTGTTAAAAATCAAGACTAAATGGAGTCCCTCACCTGTGGTTCAGTTATTTCGGGATCTCTGATTAGTTGCTGTACGAAACCTCGATTCAGTGCAACGAGAAGAGGAAACCTATTGCCAGTAGCCAATTCGAGCACCTCTTCATTTTGTAGAAGTTGGTAGCCCGTATGAACTAAGTATCTCGTAGAAAGTGGTGGAATGCTAGATGTCCGAGAAGGCAAGGGTCGAATTGAAGTTTCTGAAACGCCGAGCAAATTAAAGGACATTTCTTCTTCAACAGTCCGCACATGGATGGTGTCGAAGTGGTCGACAATGAGATCAAAAGGCGGTGGTCGGCCCTGAGGTAGGGCCTGAATCAAGCCCCGCGAGAGTGCATCCTCAAGTGGCTGGATCTCCCTGCTGGTAGCATGTGTGTATGTTCCATGAACAGGATCAATGATCCCCTTTGCCAAGGCCTCGGTCACCGGAATCAAGCAGTTAAGGTCTGGATCGTATATACGTTGCAATCTGTAGGTATCGTGACGTCTATGAAACACTTCTAGCCAGTAGGCGCAACCCTCATCTCCTGGCAGACACCAAAATGAATCTCCAGCAGCCACCTCAGGGTCAACATGAGATTGCGTAAATACAGTAGCGAAAACAGTGCCTCTAGCGATGGCTTCACCCAAGTCTATAAATTCAGCTGACTCCGGATCACGAACAACACCTCGGTGACAATCAACGTGACCTTCCCGCACCATGTTATTAGTAATAGCAGATTCGATACGCACGCCAAAGTGCAGTGTAAAGAACGCGTAGATAACGCAGTGACGCTGCTTCTGCCACACGGTCATCTGTTGAATTTGTTGCTGCCGCAGCCGCGAAAGAGAGCCACCAGTATCGCATGAGGAGCCCTCCGCACTTACAAGATCGCCCCGAGACGAGTTATGCCGCGTAGGACGTCTACGGAGACGAGCCAGGCTAGATGCAAACAAAGAATGCCGCTCTTCTTGTGGTGCTCCGCCCGAATGACCACAATCATTCGAATGAGCTCTTGGACTAGAGATAGCACATTGCCCAAGCCCATTTAAAAGAGACCGGCTTACGGTCAAAGTGCGTCGCCTGGAAATGCCTCCTGTAGAAAATATATCTCCTCCGCTACGAACTCCAAAGGTGCAGTTGGTCAAAGATATGTTGGTACGAGAGACAGAGGGGCCTCTAGGTGGCAAAGGGCTAGAAATAACCGAATGGCTGCGCTTCAGAGTAGAAGAGACTAAGGAAGCAGCGAAGGCTGGCATCTGAAAAGTAAAGGAAGAAGTACAGAAGGATATTCAAATTAAGAAGCAATGAAAAATGATAACTAAGAGCATAAAGATAATCCGGCATAATAGGAAATAGAGAAAATAAGAAAAAAAGGAACAAAGCTAAGCTATGATAAAATGACAACGTATTCTGTCAGTTATCATAGGCCGAGTTCATTTAGGGAAGTGCAGCTTGTTATGAGTTATCATAAAAAAATAAGTGCAATGTAGGGGAACAAGAGACAAACTTCAATTTAATGTGACGCATTATAAAGCATAAAAGCTGCAGATAACCCGGTTTTTGCTAATAGCTGGTTGTTATCATCATAATTCCAAGTTAATCAATAACTTTACGCAAGTGACGTCGCGAAGAAAATACTCCTAAAATTTTTTTGGAATTTGAGACGAAAAATTATACAAAATAAGCAAGCAAGTCATAGTATAACTTGTTAAATCATTAAAAATCACAAAGGGCCAGAATTAAAGGCGACTATCAGCCTAAATAATTAACAAGAAGGATTAAGTTAGAAGTATTAAAAACCAAATAATGCTAAGTCAAATAGTAGAAAAATAATTTTAAATTGAGCTGGCTTGGTTTACTTCAGTCTTCCTAAGGCATACATTCAAGCCAGTTCAATTTCGTTAGCCTAGAGAAAATAACGTCTAAAACAGCTTGTGTCTGAACAAATATCTAATCAAGCAGCAAAAGCTGGAATTTATCTCAAAATACCTTTCTAGTAAGCAAGTCTTTAAGAACGTTTCTCCGCTTATTTTGCTGGTATAGAGAACAAGCAGAGTCCACGAAAGAGCCATCATCGGAAAGAAATCGAGTCGGATATGCTGACTCATCCTCAGGCAAGAGCCACTCCCTACTGTCAGCAGAAATCAATCCTAATCGCAAGCCATTGAGCTGAGAGGGCTTGTCTTCCAGCCCGAAGGTGGTAGATACCTCAGCGATGCCATTGGCGAAGGAGCCGGTTCTCTGAGGAGTAGGTGGTGGCAGATTTACGGGAGGGAAGCAACCTTGGCCAATGGCTTGAGTTAAACTAAATTTGGCTTCAATTTGTCCACTAGAGTTCATAGGATCGACAGTAAGTAGGCGTACGACGCCAAGCTGTGGATCGACATATCCAGCCTTGACTGCATCCGAAAGACGAATAAGCCGGCCCTCAGGACCGGATTCTCGAAAGGCAGAACGCTCAGCGTCCAATTGGCCTGATCTGAAGGCATCGAGCAGAGTTATCGGGTGGACTGCAGTTGCTGGATAGACGAGACTCCGTCCGTCAGCCAGATGTTCAACAACACGCCCAGATGCAATTAGCTCATTAAGTGTAGGCGGATAGCATGAAGAGGCCTCTTGGGATTGGCACAAGGAAGTCTTCGTGTTGATAATAGCATTATCATTGGTCCTAGCAGATTCCAGTCCCGAAAAATGAAATTGAAGCTCTGAAGAGTTTGAACAGGCAGTCTTAAAAAAGAGATAATAGAAAACGGTAAATGTTGATATATGTATATTATGGAACTTGTAATAACCCTATGGAATAAGGCGTATTAATTTGTAAATAATAGATTGGGTTATGAAGACCAAGATGGTGTGGCCTTTTGTTTGGTCGCAGTCTCCTTTCGTTGTATAGAAGTTGTTTG